TATGGTTTACTAAAATAAAATCAAAAATTGACATTCAAGATTACGTCAATGATATTAATTTTATAATTTTTTAAGTAGTTATCTTCTTCAACATTTTCTTACAAACTCTTTTTTAATTTGTAAACTTTATTGAAATAGTGAATTTTGAGATAAAAAAATTAAATTTTGACAATATCTTTAAAATTGTCAATTAAGAAAAACTTTTAACTGTTTTTCTTTTGTTTTTRTGAAATGAAATCATATTCAGTTATCATTTTTTGACAAAYTTTTGTTACGAGTTAAAACTATTTTCTAGATTTTGGACCTTTTTGATGACACAAATTGTTATTTAGCTTGATAGTTTTAAGATCCTCATTTTTAAAAAAGGCAATTCAATACAAATGTAAACTATTTTAATAACGAAATAAATAAAAAAAATTTCATTCTATTTTAAATTCGAAAACCGTAATTAATAAAAAAATCATTTCTCGTCAAATATGAAGTATAGCTTTTAGTATGACAATTCTAGCTCCAATCTTTTGACAAAGTTTTGTTTTGAGTTAAAACCATTTTTTTTCGAAATTTTGCAAACCCGTAGAGATTTTTATAGTTTTTTAGCAGTAATGCCAACTTTCCGTATTAAAAAAGTCCCAATGATGTCTCGCGATCGTCTAGACCCAAACCGATCAAAAACTGAGAAGATTTCCAACGTGTGGCAAGAGCGACGACAAAAGCAGACAAAGGGTGCTAATCGATAGAGACGTGCTTCCCTTGACGCTCATTGATTTTAAACCTGGAACTGACGTTAAAGCACCATGAGAGATAACCCGTCTTCGCAGATGAGCTTATTTATGATCCTGACGCGATTTAGAAAATTTCAGACATTGTCTGAAATCAAATCAGGTAATGATTTTAACGGCACCTTTCAGGTGGTGCTTACGAAGGGCTAACTCTGTTACCAGGCGACGAATAGCTTCAGGGTGAGGGATGTAATCGAGGGCTTCGAGTTATGATTATTTTAACGATTTAAGTTAAAAAGTTTGAGAGGTTTGGATTAAATTCTCGACGCGTTTGGACTGTAAACAATGACGACAAGCATATCAGTGGTGAATTGTTGGCTTGGAAAGCATTAATATTCCGCTCTTGGAGGCAAAAGTCACAAGGGAGCTGCAAACGCAGGTTTAGTGGTGGAAAAAATCGGACAAGAATTTTATTTGTCGGGTTTTGCCTTTTTTGGGAAAATCAACAGGAAATTGATTGATTTTGTCTGAGTTTTATTTAAATAACAGAAATAAAGAAGATTTACCAGCACAATTTATTTCGTGTTTTAATTTTGGTAAAATTTTAGCAGTTTTGCCAAAACAATTA